GAGACAGCGCGTCCGCGACGACATTGGTTCGGCCCGCCCGATGAAAAATTTCAAACTGATACTGACTGAATGTATCCATCCAGCGAAGAAGCTTGGGCAATGGCTGCTTCTTGGTGAAAAACCATTTACATGCCATACTATCGGTGTAGATCACAAACTTGGCTCCCAGGAACGCTCGCCACTTTTCAAGACAGAGCTTTATCGCGTAAAGCTCCTTCTCGTGAGCCGGCCACCTGCGTTCCGTTTCGCTGAGCTTCCTACTGAGGTACGCGACTGGATGATCTCCGGACGAGTGGACTTGGCTCAGTACTCCTCCCACCGCGATGTCGGAGGCGTCGGTGGTAACAAAAAACTGTCGACCAAAATCCGGTAGCTGAAGCACAGGCGAGCGTTGCAGCATGCCTTTCACTCGAGCGAACGCCGTCTGCTGCATCGGCCCCCAGTTCCAGCTGCTGGATTGCTTTAGTAGGTCCGAGAGTGGCTGCACTAGCTCCGCGTAAGCAGCCAGAAACCGCCGGTAGTAACCACAGAGACCTAAAAAACGCTGTAACTCCTGCCGATTGGTTGGTGGCGCAAGGTCCTTCATGGCGGCTGTCTTGGCGGGGTCAAGCGTGATCGTCGAATTGGAAATCTGATGTCCTAAGAACGTGACAGTCTCCTGAGCCCAGGCACACTTCCTGGGGTTCGCATATAACTCCGCAGAACGAAGAGCGCTTCACACCGCCCGAAGATGCTCTACATGCTCGTCAATCGTCTGCGAAAAAACACAAATGTCATCCCAATACACCACACAGAAGCGTGTAAACCGCGAATTTCCGAAGATGTAGCGCATCAAACGCGTCCAGGAGCCCGGCATGCCTGCTAGCCCCATAGGTGCAACTACCCAGTGAAACAACTCACTATCCGCTTGAAACGCTGTAAGCTGTCGCGAGTCGCTGTGGAGTCGCATTTGATGGTAGCCCGAAGTTAAATCGATGCAGCTAAAAATGCGCGCGCCTTGCAAAGTGTCCAACAAATCATCGATCCGAGAAAGCGGCACTCGTGGTACCGTAGTCTGTGAGTTCAGGTACCTGTAATCGATCACCCACCGGACCGGGTGTGAGATATCGCCACTGCGAATCCAATGCACTTTACGTACGCTTGCTCCGGTTGTGGGATCCTTCTTGGGAACCGCAAAAATACTGGCCGTCCACGGCGAGTTCGACTGTTCAATCCACCCCTTGCGTAGTAGTTCGGCCACATATGCCAACAAGGCAGCCCGCTCGACCGGCGAGTGTCGAAATGGCGCTCGAGCAGCTGGAACTGCGCCTGGGCGGAGGACTATCTCGTGCTCCACTGCGCGTTCTGGCGGAAGTCCATCGGGGAGTGTTTCTGGAAGGACATCCTGGAACTCCTGGAGTAATAGACGTACAGCTGCTGTGACGGTAGACTGCCCGTCTTGATGCGACGCTTCCACAGTATAAACTTTTACATAGTCGCCTGCTTCCAGTCGGCGTCGGAAATCGGCAAGTGTGACTTCGTTGACTTCGGCGTCTTCAGACTGCGAAAACGGTGCTTCGTTAGCATTTCGGAACGAGATAAATTGATTGGTCCAGTCAATGACTGGATTGCACTGTTCCAGCCATGGACGACCCAAAATTTCGTCGTAGTCGTAAGTTATTGGCCAAAATATGAAGGGTACACGACATATCATCGAATCACAGTCCACAGTCAGATCGCCACGCGGGCAGACACTTGAATTATCGACATCTGGGATGTATCCAAGAGAGTGTCTCGAGGAATTAACTTTAGCAAGTAGGTTGGATCCAAAATGGAAAAAATAAGTAGGTGCGTTTTTCAAAAATAAGTAGACTGACACCAAAAATATAACTACATGTTATGCATAACAAATAACCAAATTTAGAATGACCGTTTAAAATTTAAGAACATATATCAAAGTCTTACAAGTAATATCGTACGACCCGCACAAGGCCACACAGGCCCAATCGTACGATCATACTTATTATTGCTACTGCTAGTACTACCTAGTATTTCCAGTGGAACTCACACCCAGGAAACATTCTCCACTTGATAGAGCTAAAAGAAGACATGACCGTTCTACAGCCAGTCCGTTTCGCAGCTTCTCCTGGCTAATCAGTTTTGAAACCCCATCGCCTTGCCAGGACGAGGTGCTCACGGCCCTTCATTCATCATATTTTGCGCACTCCTTACGTGCACTGTTAGCCAAGCCAAAATGTCGGAAACTGCAAACGTGTCACCATTTTTTGAAAGAGACCAGCTAATGCCATCTAGCTCAAGGAGTTGAGACGATACACCAGAGGAACCGGGCAAGCGAGGATGAAAACCGGGGCCTCGGTCGAAGCACCAACGCAAATCACACAGACCGGGATCCGCAGTAACACCTACAGTTGTAATGACACAGTAGGTCTCGAGCTCCGTACCCAAAGAGAGACTAAAGTTATAGTGTGCGACTCGTACGACTGAGACTTTTGGTCGAAATCGTACGATCAATAACCGAGCAAGATCGTATGACCTAGATTTTTTTAGAAACTCAAAAAATATAAACCTGTTCGATTAATTTTCAGAATCTATGTATGTCTATTCAGTTAATATATGTGGTGCTTTCAGATTAAATTTCAAATTAATTTGTATGGCTATGTGCTGACAAAACTCGACCGCAAACAGGGCAAGCGACTCGCTCGGACATCGTAGATAGATTAATAAACCTACTTACATCGATAACTTTTTGTTGTGTTGCTGCATTGTCTTGTAAAACGTCTTAATATCTGATCTAACCCTCAACTTCTTATTCCTGGTTATACCTACTTACAAGTAGGTTAGTCAATCTACTTACTGATTCCATTTTGGATTTAACCTACTTGCTAAAGTTAATTCCTCAGAGTGTCTCCCTGCACAGTAATTAAAAGGGCCATTTCGGTGGGGACAAATCTTTTGGTTGTCTTCGGATGTGCATTTTTTTTTTGATCTCCGGATGTTCACCCGGATGCAGACCATCATTCCTAAAGTTTAATGGCTGTCAAAAGTCTCCCCCTCCCCAGTCAAAAGAATCCCAGCGTTCAAAGAACAAGCCAAACAGCGCCTACTCCGTCGTGATCATACTCAACACAGGTTTCCAAAGTGTAGAGCAATGTGTAGCACGAAGAAGCACATTTGCAGCGTTAAAATCCACGTCAAAACGGTGATCTTGCGGTAAAAGATCGGTTTTCCATTCAAAACACCAGCTCTAACTTACTAATTGTAAAGTATGACTGTACCCATACTTAGTAGTATAGACGGCACTACTTTGAGCAAGTCTACGTATATGCACTACTCATACAAACTTCAATACAATCGCAGTTTGACTCTATTCATGCGTCGTGGTTCGGACGACGTGTCTGACTCATCCTAGCACGGGTCCGACGTCTGCTGTATCGACGCCCGCCATGCCACGCCACCAGCCCCATTACAGCGAAGGGAGTGACGAAGACCTAGCAAGCGTTGCGTCAAGATCTTACAGCGACGGCGAATCCCGCGACATTGCAGTTCATTCAAACTCACGGAAGAAGAAGAAGAGATTAAGAAGGCATCTTACCGCCCGAGATCGAGCGGTAACCAAGCGAAGAAAGCAATTGCCTCATCGATTATCCTCGCGTCGCCACAACTCTTCTAGACGCAGAAATGAAGAATCATTGAACGTTCAGGATTCGTCAGTAGAATCCGAGCACGAGAAGGGATCTCACTCTTCATTCGCATCAGGCTCTAATGCGAGCAGCCAAAATTCGTCCGATTCGGAAACAGAAGGATGAGACGGAGGTGACATCGCTCCTCAAGACGAATTAGTGGGCGTACCGGATCTGGATGTGACGGCGTTCGACAGCTGGGACGCGTTGGAGTCGTATCTGAAGGCATACAGCAGAAAAACATTCCAGGTTTGTGCTGCGTAGACTGTGAAACAGTTTCTGAAATCGTACTAAATTCTTACTGTGATCAGATTTACACCATTCGAACAAACACTCCAGTGCGGACATGAAACGCTAGAATGCAGAGGAATATGTCTGCTTTCAAGCCAGTCCCTGAGGAGTTTAAGTTCTACAATAAACCTACGTTTGCACGCATTCAGGGGCTCCTAGACGAAGCGTGGGCCAGGAAACGCGGCCGCACCAGCACTCCAGTCCATACAGAAGACCACATAAACCGCAGAGGCTCCCATGACGCAGCAGAGACTGAAGATGCTGTGACTACAAGCTCAGATATTCTATCGAAGACGGTGGTTCTATCTGAATCTGGTGAAAGTTCTGAGGATGTGACACAGTCTCAGTCTGGGCAAGAACTTGAGTCTTTGGACGATGGCGAAAAATCAGAGTGCTCGTTTTGTGGAAGCAGTGGCGTCGGGATTAGCTCCATCCGTCGGTGTTCTACTAGAGGCAGCTCAGGCGTGTATCACGTACAGCCTGGCAGAAACGTTGCGGTCGCTGAATATTCTTCAGCAGACGCGTAATACAAAAAATTACAGTATGGAATTCTTCCGGTACAGATACTTAAGTCTTATATTATCGTCAATGTAAGCTTTTTTGTAGTTTTTTTTTGTCAATGATTCTTTGTAAAAAGAATGATGTCGACCGGTGTGCATACATATGAAAGGCTTTACGAAGCAGGGAGTGACATTGCGGCGAGGCGAACACCGCGGTGAAGCCGCTTGAGTGGTGCTTAGATAAGTTTGAAAAGTCGAGTTGCCGCCACACTCACCGACAATCACTCTGGTTTTTTCGTACGTTCTTGTACCCGGAGATGCACTTGTTTTGGTCGCTAACGTGCTAGCCTTTCCGACCACATGGATCAGCAATCTGCGCGAAGTGAACATAATATAGCCGAGACTGTGCATCGGCTGCACAGTCTAAATTTGAGACTGTGCAGGTAGTCTCTGCCATGTATCCAAGGCACCATCCTTGAGTATGCAATGAGACGCCCCAGAATCAATCAGCATTCGAAACGGCTTATCCGCGATGTACACCGTCTTAATAAACGGTGTGCTGGGTCCAACTGAAACGGTAGAGATATCCATGATCTCAATTGATGATGCCTCGCACCTTGCAGGAGATTCTTGCGTTGCCGGCTCGACAGATACTCCACTTACATCTGCCGAGCCACGCCATTTCCCTGCGCGCGTCCCCTGTTTTAGCCGTTTCTGCGTGGGCAGCTGGCAATCCGATGCCTCACTTCTTTGCAATAGAAGCACTGATTACGCTCCCGGCATGTACGCTTGTCAATCTGTCGACTATCTACCACAGACAAATCCATGGGTGTCGGTCCATCAGAAGCTGCCGCAACCCGTGAGCTTGACGGTTGCCGGCCACGCTCACCCGAAAAGTGCGTTCGTTCGTATGCTTGCGCAGCGGCAATAGCATCTGCAAGCGTCGCACAGCGCAGGTACATGACATCCTTTTTTGTCTCTGACTTCAGACCTTCACAGAAATGGTTTACCTGGTCCAGCGCATGCATTCGGTGAATCTGGGCCATCAACCGACGGAAATCCTTAACGTAGTCATCGACAGAACCACGCTGCTGACACTGGTGCAACTCAGCACGTAGACGAAATTGCTGGTCCGGAGGCACGAACTCAGCCGCTAGCGCACCATGCAGCTCATCGAGAGTGTGGTAAGCTACGTGCTCTACCATGACCTTGGCGTGATACCATGACGCTGCACCGTCACGGAAATTGGCAGCTAACATAGCCACGACCCGAGGGCCGTTCTGGGGATTCATAAAGTCGATGCATTTCCCCTGCATGAATAGCTTTGCCCGGAAAATGAATTCATCCACAGATTCATGAGGACGGCCGTGATACGTTGGCATACTGACTCCCTCGATCTTGTGCTCTCGGTGCGCGTGCTGCGCCTGCAGCTGCTGCTGCAACTGTTGCTGGTACCCCTGGAGGTACGACTGAAAATCCTGGTAAATGTCGAGTTGGTTGGAAGGAGGCGGGTGAGGCGAAGAAGGAGAATTAGAAAGTGAGTGAGATTAGAACTTACGCAAAGCCTGGTTACACCTAGTCTGCCTGCAGTCCTTGGGTATCGTGTCCAGTCCAGCACGCTGTCGTGTCCTACCTTGAAGTAGACCTTGAAGTTGCCAAGATGACTCAAGTTACCGTTGCACCTGCGGTCTTACCACTTGATGACGCGTGATATGTAGACCGTGTGCCGCACTGTGCTCACAGAGTAGCACGTTCCGACACTCCCACTCGGCACATGCCAAGTCGCGTGACGAACAAGCTGAACTTTGCTTGTGGCAGCGGCTTGGTGAACATATCCGCAACCATGACCGCGGTCGAACAGTCCACAATCTTGATTGTTTCGCGCTGCACTTTCTCGCGAATCCAGTGATAGCGGAGGTCAAGGTGACGCGATCGTTGCGAGACGCCCTTGCCTTCAGCCACATGCTGAGCTGCCTGGTTGTCCTCGTGGACTATCACCTTGCCCACGTCAAATCCCAACTCGAGCAGCAGCTGCTTGAGTCCGATACACTCCTTGGCTCCGTGCGCTAGAGCAACATACTCTGATTCAGTGGTCGACAGCGTAACAATCGGCTGCTTCTTCGACCCCCATGCAATGCAGCACCCGTTGAGGAATATAACGAATCCCGTCGCCGACTTGCGCTCGCGCTCGCAAGCAAATGCAGCATCACAATACACTTCCAGCTGCAGCTTACGCTGAGAAGATCGATGGTAAACAATCCCCCTGTCGGCCGTCCGCGCGATGTAGCCAAGTACACGCCTAACTGCATTTTGTACAGTGCGGGTCGGCTGCTCGGTCTCTTGTGCGATCAGGCGAACTGCTGTTGCGAGATCAAGTCGACTAACCGTTGATGCGTACAGCAGTGAACCGACTTCAGGACGAATCGACTCATCAATGACTTCGGTGTCGTCGGCGACTTGGCGTTGGAAGTTGCTGTCCATTGGTGTCCGGGGTTGCGACCTGTCACCATGGCTGGCGAACCGCTTCACAACGGTGGCGGCGTACTTCTGCTGTGCGATCGTCAGCACATCACCGTCCTTGTTCCAGCCTAGCTCCATGCCCACGAAGCTGCTTGAAGCATCGCACTTGTTAATCGCGAACCGACTGGTGATGCTGGCTTGAAATGCAGCAAGCTCCGATGCCAAGTTGCTGAAAATTAGCATGTCGTCTACATAAAGTAGCACAACCACAATGCTGTCAGTAGTCCGCTTCACCAAGACACAGGAGTCCGACTGGCATTGCACGAATCCAGTCTCGCACAGGAACTTGGTCACGGTCTCATACCAAGCGCGTGATGCCTGTTAAAGCCCGTACATGGCTTTGCGAAGCTTCCATACCGTTTTGTCGTTGCCCTCGGTGGGTGGAGTGACGAAGATGGTTTCAGCAAGATTGCTGTTCAGGAACCCCGTTTGCACATCGAGCCGAAGATGATCCCAGTTCAGTTGAACAGCCAGAGCAAGAATGGCTCGGATCGAGTCGTGACGTACAACTGGGCTGAAGGTTTCCGTGTAGTCCACGCCATACTGCTGCGTAAATCCCTTTGCAACCAGCCTGGCCTTGTACTTGTCAAGTGATCCATCAGGCAGTGTCTTGCGTCGGAATACCCATTTGGTCTGCACTGGACGCACATTCGCTGGAGCGAACACTTCCTCGTAAGTGCCATTGCGACGCAGGCTGTCCAGCTCACTATTGATTGCTTAACGCCACTGTTCTGCGTCGGGCCGAGCCATGGCTTCCTGCAACGTAAGCGGCTCGCTTAGCTCGCTGACCAATGCTGTCTCCTCCGCGTTGTGCGACTGCTCGTAGTCCAGCCTACGCACCGATTTCTTCTTGATGCGCGTACTGCGACGAGTTGGCTGTTTTTCCGCGCGAGGATCAATGAGATGGCGCTCCGGCAAGTCACTCAAAGGTTGACTGCCATCCGCGTCACTAACCAGTTGACTGCCATCAGAGTCCTCCATCTCGATGTCTTCTTGGATCGCTTCGAGATAGCGAGAAGGTGCGACCCCATCCACTGGCTCGTCATACACCTGCGTTGGTAGTTCTCCATTCAGCGTCACCGTCGTGTTTCTCGGTACGCTTGACTCAAAAAATACTGCAGTCATGGAGACAATAGCTCTCCCACTGCCTCCGTGACCACTGGGTACCCAAAACCGGTAGGCGCCGCTCTTCTCGTACCCGATGAAAATCGCCTTGATGGTCTTTGCGTCGAGCTTGTGACGCTGTGACTTCGGCAGTAGGACTTCAGCATCACAGCCAAATACTCGAAGCCTGCTCAGCACTGGGGCGCCGCCAGTCACCGCTTCGAACGGAGTCTTGTCACCAAGTACCTTCGTTGGGCAGCGGTTCCGGATGTATGCAGCCGTCAGCACCGCGTCACTCCAGAAGCGTTTCCCCAAACCGGCAGCCTGCATCATCGCTCGCGCCATTTTAACGACGACTCGGTTACTGCGCTCAACCTTGCCGTTCTGTTGTGGTGTGTATGGCGTGCTGAACTCCTGTGCAATCATGTTTTCATTGCAGAAGTCAGCGATTTCTCCTCCCACGTATTCTGCCGCATTGTCGCTTTCCAACACCGCCACTCTTGCACTCGGGATCACCACCTTGAGGTTGGCGATGCACTCGCGTAGCGCGCTCAGCTGGGTGGCCGAGCTCTTGGCCTTGACAGGGAAAACTGAGGCGAGATGGTATGGCTCGATCATCATGCTCACCATGCCTGTGTAACCGTCCCGTGACGTGGTTTCCATTGGCCCCACATAATCGATAGCGATCACCACCTGCCCGCGCTTGAGCTTTCGCGGCTTCTTTTCCGGAAATGACACACTGGCCAGTTTCCCAGCTGCACAGGACCCACAAGGGAGCAGCTGCGAGCTTCGGGTTGTCACATCACCGGCTTTCAGCAACGCCTTCAAATCCCGAGCATTCAAGTGGCCCAATCTGGCGTGCCAGGTAGCTAAGTCGTCCAATTGGTCTCCAGACGCGTATTCCACCTCAGCACAATTGCCTGTGCTGAGGGCCGATACAACATACAGCCCACTGGTGCGACGTGTAGCAAGTAGCTTATCGTGACCGCTGGTGATGACACAATGCTCACGATTGAAGGTTGCCGTAAGGCCAGCTGCTCCGACCTTGCTCAAGCTCACAAGATTGCGCTTGAGGCCTGGGACGTACAGCACGTTGTCCAGTGTGCAGGTGCCGACAGAGACGAGAGGTAGGTGAGCCGTTCCGCGATGCGTAGCGCTCAGCTTCATGCCACTCGCAGTCGTAACCACGATGTCATTGTCCATCTTGTTCAGGCCATTGAGCAGACCACGCGATCCCGTCATGAGACTCGAAGCTCCTGAGTCAATGATCCAGTCAGCTCCCACCGACTCTGCACTCGAGCTGACTTGGAAGGAAAAACCGCTTTCCTCACCTTCATCGTCGTCTTGTCCAGACGTAGCAGCGTGGCCAAAGGCACCACAATTTTGCTTGGCCTTGCACTCGTTCTTGAAGTGACCGTACTTCCCGCAGTTGAAGCACTTGCCCTTCTTCGCGCCTGGCTTTCCGTGCGTAGCAGCAGCAAATGCATTACCACCTCGCACAGCCTGCGTTCCACCACGCTTTCCGCGTTGCGTCTGCGTCGTGCGGCGCCTGGCTTCGGCAGCCGCCTTGATCAGCAATTTCTCCATCGAAGCACACGATTCCAGCGATCCAATGTAGCCATTCCAGTCAGGTCCAAGGCTCTGCAGGAAGTTGCTCTTCTTTTCCGCGTCCGTCAGAACTACCTTGTAGCACTCCAGCTCAGCAAGTATCAGGCGCGTCTGGCGGACGTGCTCCAGCATGTCGCCACCAACGTCGACATAAAGCGACATGTACTCTCGCTTGAGAGCCCCAGCGGTTGTGTCACACACGTGACGATGCGTCTTCTGCAGCGCCCCCAGCATGGCTTTCGGGTGCTGAAGATCAGCCACCAACGCAGCTTGATCATCCGTCAGCGCTGCCAGAATGATGGTCATGGCCAGCTTCTGCTGCATCTCCAGTTGGTGCAGCGGTCGCTCTTGCTGCCGTAACGGCCGATCGGCTTGGCCGGACTCTTCGTTCTCGAGCTGGAGCAACTTCGGTGCGGGCTTCAGCACCGCGCTCCATACGTCCTTCACCTCCAGGTAAAGTTGGAGTTGCCGCGCCCAGACTCGGTAGCCCGTTCCGTCGAGCTTGCGAAGCTTGGTCGTGAACGCGGTCGTGGTGTTGGCACTCATAACCTGTCGAGTTGGTTGGAAGGAGGCGGGTGAGGCGAAGAAGGAGAATTAGAAAGTGAGTGAGATTAGAACTTACGCAAAGCCTGCTTACACCTAGTCTGCCTGCAGTCCTTGGGTATCGTGTCCAGTCCAGCACGCTGTCGTGTCCTACCTTGAAGTAGACCTTGAAGTTGCCAAGATGACTCAAGTTACCGTTGCACCTGCGGTCTTACCACTTGATGACGCGTGATATGTAGACCGTGTGCCGCACTGTGCTCACAGAGTAGCACGTTCCGACAGTAAATCTGTGCGTTCTGCTGACTCAAGCCAGCCGCTATGCGCTCGAACGCAGCCATGGAATGCTCCGGCTGCACCCCGCCACCATGGTGCTCCATATTGGCATCAGCCATGACACAGGTCGAAGTTGAAGTAGAAGGTTTCTGATTGGCCCTAATTCAGCAAGCCCTTACTGCTGATTCGTCGGAAATAAACTCTCGCAGAGTCCAAATAGCAGAACCAAATGACTTCCCGATAGTCAGAGAGTGAAAGAGAGTGGCAACCCCACGAGTTACCCAAAGAACGAAGCGAAGAGCTCTCCCCCACCGCGAAGCAAGTGCTACCAAATGTAGTGCTGCTTGCCCAGAAGAACGGAAATTGCAGAATGAAATGAATTGACCAGAAGCTAACCGCTAAACTACG